TCACATGAAACATAAGTTTTTACAACGGAAATGAATGCACAAGAGCCTATTAAAATTATGTAGATCATTCTAGAATCAATTTCCAAATTTGGTAAAAACCCTGACTGAACTATGTTTGTAAATCATATGATGTGAGACACCCCAATGAATCCCCATTCGCACTTCTATTGTCACACAAAGACAAAAAAAAACTTTGAGACCTTGATTCTTTTCTGCTCTTTTATTAACCTTACTTGAAAATTTTTTACAAAATAAAGAACATGAAAAATGAACAACGTGGAAATTTTGGTGACAATTGATACAAAGCAAGGGTATAAAATAATTTTTAAGATTTGCACACTGACTGTTACTGCCAAATTTAGATATGGTAGTTGTGAGCTAGTCTAAATTTAGCAATAATTTTGTCTAATTTAGTAATAATTTAGTGGCCAAATTCTCATCTGCTCTTTTATTAACCTTACTTGAAAATTTTTTACAAAATAAAGAACATGAAAAATGAACAACGTGGAAATTTTGGTGACAATTGATACAAAGCAAGGGTATAAAATAATTTTTAACATTTGCACACTGACTGTTACTGCCAAATTTAGATATGGTAGTTGTGAGCTAGTCTAAATTTAGCAATAATTTTGTCTAATTTAGTAATAATTTAGTGGCCAAATTCTCATGGACATGCAAGCATGCAGACACTTAAATTTGTCACATGTGACAAAATCGATTGGCAATCTTTTTTATAATGTGTGACTGTTTGAATTCAATTATTTAAAATAGAAAAAACCTGGTCATAATAACATGACCAAAAATAATTGTAAAACCAAAAAAACATTTTGCAATAATATACCTTTCATTGGAAACTTTATTTTGGTTAAAAATGATCCCATTAATCCTGCAAACTGCAAGATCTTGTTATGAACCAAAGATTTCAAATTTTATATATAAATTTATCAAAGTGTGCAAAAATTTTATTTTTTTATTTTGAAAAAAAATAAAAATATACAATTACAAACATATAATATTTTTAATTATTGATTGTTTGTTATAGAGTGTTTACTAAGATGTTCATTATAAAGAAAAATTAATTATAAAAAATGAAAAGGGAAGTTTTGTTATAGAGAGAGAAGTTAATTACAAAAAAAATGAATCAGAGACAAAAGTGGAGTTCATTATTATTATAGAGATTTTATTTAGTGTTCATTATAGAAATAATGAACTGTAGATATTATGTGCTTTGTTGATTACATGAAAGGTAGTTGGTTGTTTAAATTTATGCATGCAAAAATATATATTATATATTATATTATTGTTTTTTTTTTATTCTTTTGATTTAATTACAAGACATATAATATATATACTGACTACAATTTTTTTATTACTGTACACAGATGTTATATAATTTGTTAATTACACAAAAGGATTTCAAAAGTTAGTTGTTCTATATAAAAACCTTTAAATTTATACATACATACATACATACATATATATATATTTGATTTAATTACAAGACATATAATATATATACACTGACTACAGTTTTTTTATTACTGTACATAGATGTTATACGATTTGTTAATTACATGAAAGGATTTCAAAAGGTAGTTGTTCTAAAAACTCTAAATTTATACATGCACACACACATATATATATTAATATTTTTCTTATTTATTTGGTTAGTTACAAGACATAGTATATATACACCAAATACAATTTTTATTATTATTGTACATAGATGTTATATTAATACATAAAAGGATTTCAAAAGGTAGTTAGTTATTCTAAAGAACTTCTAAATTTATACATGTAACAATAATATATAAATAAATTAAAGAAAAAAAAACTTATTATATTAAATCTAATTCCTTAGGAACTCTTGAAGTGCTGTATTAAACACAATCTCAGCTTGAAGATTAAATGCCATTTGTAATTCCTCAGGTTCATCAATTTCTAATGATTGAATTTCATCTTCGGGATCATCTTCTATTGGAAAATTTTTTTCACTTGTAAGTCTATTAATAGATTCTACATTGATATTAATCTGATTTTTTATGTATCTTAAACAATATAGACACTTGTAGTCATGACGTTGTAAACAATATTCATGATAAATATGACCACATGGAAGAAATGTCAGCTTTATGAACTGCCAAAAATTTTGATCATTAGAATTTAGTTGAGGCTTTATATAAGTATCCATTATTTTGTTTTCTACTTTTTGGAATTTCCATTTTTTTTAAAATAATTATTTTTATTTTGCACAAGAGAAATAGGTAATCATCAAATCAGTTGTGATGGTGGCAACTATATTAATTTAAAAATTTAGGAATAGACTATTATATAATAATTTTATTTGTTAAAACTAATTTATTTTTACATGGAATTCAGAGTTCTTTTATACATTTTGTTTAATTATAAGCAATTCCATCATTGATACCCTACTTTGAAATTGATGTCAAATAATTTTTATATATTCAAATATCATAACACTTTTGAATATTGTAACACTTTCAAATATCTGTGTAATAATTTATGTTATAATGATTTATGGAAACAAATTTATATATTTAATTACATGAAATGTTATTGCATTAATAAAAAAAATAAATCTAAAAGTATTAATATTAATTTGAAAGATAAACTTACTCCCATTATAATGACATTCATTATGTATCCTGTTATAAGAGTATAAGGACATAATTGGACAAAAAATTTTTTTATAATTATAAATTTATCCCATTATAATGACATCTGTCATAAAGACATGTCAGTACAACAAGAGAACCAATCAAATCAATCAAATCACAATGACAGCTAATTATTTACATTTTTAATGTTTTAATATTATTAATACTAAACACAACACAAATTACTTACATCAAGTTTATTATTATTATTAACACTAAAATTAACAATAATCAATTCACAAATTGTTTTGGTGGTGACAAAGTATCTATTATTTTCAAGAATGGGTTTTTGAATTGTAACAAAGTATCTTTACATTTTTGATTGATCTCTTATTATTTTTTGATGATGAAATACTTATGGTGATGAAATATTTTACATTTTTGACAATAAAGAAATTTATTCACAATTTTTTTTTTGATAACATTTTCAAACAAGACTATAAAAGAATTATGAATTATTCAATACTTACACTAAAAATTTTTGCAAATTTTTAAAAACGTTTTTTCCAAACCTTTTAATCATTAATGATTATAATTATAAACTTTTGCTAAATTGTTGATTTTAAAATAAAATAATAATTTCTAAAAAAATTTTATAATCATTTTTCAAGTCATGTGATTTTATATGAACTCCCGTTATAAGAACATCTCATTATACGGACATTTTTTGCTTGTCCCATGAATGTCCTTATAACTGGAGTGACCTGTAATAAGAATCAAATATCATTTCCATAACATTATGAATATTTGAATATGGATAAGGAAGAACAAGAGGTCCAATAGGTCTTTGTTTCATTCTTGAGTTACCAGTTAGAATTGTTTTTTGTTTCTTTTCAGTTACAGACTGATCAGATGCCAATGTACACACAGTTGTCAAAAATCTAGATGCTGTGCCAGCATTTCCAAGATAAATTTCATCATCAGGAACAGTAAGTTTACCACCACCACCTATAACAACCAAGGTATTGCCATCATCCTCCCATTCAAATTTTGCACCACCTAAAGCTCGAAGTCCACTTAACATTACTTGAGTATCATCTGAGTATAGGATACCTCTAAGCCTACAAGTACCTTCACCAAGTGCAGCTAAGATTAAAGCACGATTAGAAATAGATTTTGAACCTGGTGTTGTTATGTGGATTGATGTTGGTGAATTTGCGCAATTATTAGTTGAAAACTTAGGAAAAACTCTGATGGCAGGTGAAAGAATTTTGTGAATAATTGAATCTGAAACTACTGTGGCCTTCTTTTCTAAAGTTTTGCCAATAGCAGTAAGAATAACCAAACGTTTCTTATCACCTTGATTTTTTTTATCAATTTTCATAATTTCCAATAATCTATCCACATCACAATACTTATTTCCAACTAGTTGTTTAACTTTTTTGTCATCTAAAGAAACTGGTAATCCATAATTTTGTAAACATATTGATAATCTACCAACAGCTACTTGATTAAGATATCCAAGGTTTCTGGAAATCTCAGCCTCTTTAATCATACCGATTGAAACACATTCACCATGTAATAAATCAGGAGCTAAAATTGTTTCAATTGCATGCCCTATTGTATGTCCAAAATTCAATAAACCACGAAGTCCACTTTCCCTTTCATCATGAGTAACTACATGAGCCTTTACCTTTATTGAAGCTAAAATTACTGATAAAAGAAGTGATTGAGAAGGAGTTCTTGTTTCAAGTGTATTTCCTATTATAAACATAAATAAGTTAATGATAATTTTTTAATCAAACAAAAAAAACAACAAATAATTGTGGGTTACTAACCTTGAAATGGAACATCTTTGGGTGGATTGAGTACAGCTTCATGAATACTTTTAACACCATTTTCCAATTTTTCAAATTCATTATTGTTCCAAATAGCTGCGTGTTTAATAACTTCAGCCATCCCATTTATGAATTCTCTTTCAGGCAAAGTAGTCAAGAAATTCAAATCAACAAAAATCTTTTTAGGTTGCCAGAAAGCACCAATAAGATTTTTACCATGAGGAGTATCTATGGCAGTTTTGCCACCAATTGAGGAATCTACCATTGCCAATAAAGTTGTAGGTACTTGAACAAATGGAACGCCACGCATAAAAGTTGCAGCAACATACCCAACCAAATCACCAACCACACCACCACCTAAAGCAATAATACATGCGTCACGCGTACATGCTTTTGATAATAAATAATCTTCAATTTCGCCTTTTGTCTTTCGTGATTTTGATTGTTCGCCTGGTGGAATTACATACGTTAAAATTCTAGGTGAGGAGGGGGAGGAAGAAAATAATTTGTTTACAATGTTCTCAAAATTAGTGATTAAGTCTGAGAGATAAATTGATGCAATATTTTTATCCGTAATAATGACATAAGTTGAAGATGGTATAGATTTGATGATATCTTGAAATATTAATTCTGTCAAATGAAAACCTATAATTATTGATTCTTCATTTAGAATTGATACTTTTACAATATCAGATTCGTGTTTTGAAATCATTTTTTTTATTTATTTATTTCTTTAATAGATAAAGTTGATATTATTATCAGCATCTGTGTAACAAGTTTTTAGAGTGGCTTTGATTTGATTAATCAACTTCTAACAAACTTCCTCTAAATTAAAAAGAAAATAGGTTTTTACCAAAAGAAAAATACTTGTAATGAATATCAAACTAAATTAATAGGACTGTAACTCATAGTTATGACACGGCTATGTCATAACTCTTGTAACTGTTTATGGTGTCAACCCGAATTAGGTAATTAAAAAATAATCTACAGTGCGAGTCATCTATACTCAAAAGTTAAAATTTTTGAAATATTATGTGATCCACACATTGAATTTTAAAAAACCCGCCACCATTCAATTTAGCTTTAAAAAGTAGTCTATTTAATCTAAAAAAAATTTGTCTTTTCATAGATTTTTTAAATTTGAAAGTTATGCTCAAAAATGCAACAATAATTTTCGTGTTAAATATTTTGAATCTCTCGACCAAATTTGGTAATGATTTTCTTTTAATGTAATATGTTCGTTAAACTTTTTTGTTATAAAGAACTTTTATTTATTAATAAAAAAGTAAATAAATAAATCAAATAAATCAACAGAAAATATTTTATGAAAAAAATTTGTTACACGAAATTTACTTAGCCTCAATTTCTTAAGTGTATAACAAAATTTGGAATTTTCAAAATGTTAAGGCTCAGCCAATTTTCAGTTTAAGAAAAAACCAACTGATAAGTTTTGAAGCTTGAGTCATTAACAATAAAACTTATTGGTTAAATTTTTTAAAATTATATAATTTTTTTTTGTTTTAGTATTTTGAAGTTGACCAATTGTTAGGGTGCTGACATATATTAGCTAATATTTTAGGGGGTGGGGGATAACAGAAAATCTTAGGTCACCCGTAATCTCATAAATAACATGACCATAATGGCTTCAGTGAAAGATCTGCATTTTTATAATTTGAATGTAAGTGTTTCAATTTGGGATGATCTACATGTAGACCAATTGTCATTTGCACAAAAAATTGTATTGCACTTTTTGTTTACAGGATGATATGGCAATTAATTCTCACATTCTCATATACATAAATGCTATAATTAATCATTCTTTATCTGATATACATTTCCTTAAATATATTTTGTCAAAAAGAGGCCACTTTTGTTGTGATTGAGAAGAGAGAAACCATCAAGAATCCTTGAGTTTTGTTCTTTAGATTTTCCTTTAGCAGGATGCATTGTTAATAATTTTCAAACAAGAGTTATTACACTCAGAACCAAATAAGTTGTTTTGTCAACCCAGAAATTCCAAGAGATCATAATATATTATAAAGGAAAATTTATTTACTCCAATGTTGCTTTTAAAATGCTTAATTTATTAATAAAATTAATTCTTTTTTTTGCTTGTGCTTTGTTGATACCTAAAAAGGCAAATGATTATCATACACGTGATCAAAATGTCTTATCTGGGGGTGGGGGAGTAAGCACTACTATTAAAATGATATTAGCTAATATATGGGGTGTGGACAATAGAAACGGACCATGTTGTGAAAAAAGCAATTTTGAGTTAGTATCATTATTATATGTAATTCCTCATGTAGAACATTTTTGGCTTAGAAACTGTAACAATCTTTAATCTTGATTGATCGGTAAAATAATTCTAGTCAAAATTAGGCAATTAATCCATACCATATTTGGTAATGTAGAAAAATTCGTTTTGTTTAAATTCGCTATTACTAATTTGGCAATCGGGATTATTGCGTTTTACTTCGAAGAATTATGAATATTATTTTTCCTTGAATTATTGATATTTTTATTAGGAGTTTTGGCGATGGTGTATAATGATTATTATATTATTATTATTACAGTCGAACCTCGTTATAACGGACATATTGGTTTGGCCTCAATGGTCCGTTATAACGAGGTATCCGGTAACCAAGGTAATTGATGATCATCACGTGATGTTTTAAAAATAACTTTTTTATTAATATCAACGATAATAAAATTGTACAACATAATAATAATAATTATTATTATAATATAACTGATATGATGCTATTGTTGTTTGGTAAAATAAGAAGTTAATTTTCCTTGGTTTAAACTTTTAGAATTATACAAATTAATTTTTTTCTTTAATGCATGAAAAACTTTGAGTTCATTATAATCTAATTCTAAACCATCATTATCTTGTTCAAAAAATTTATGAACAGTTTCAAAAGCAGCAACAGCATCTTTAATTGGAATATAAGGTAACATTGGAACATTTTCTTCAATTTCTTCCTCAGTTGGAGTAAGTGATAAGATTATTTGTTCATCAGTTACCATTTCAACACTTACATCTGCATTATCTATTGAAATAAATTCTGCTGCTGTTAGAGGTGAATTAATTGGTAAATTATTAATTAAATTTTGAACAGCATTTTCTTCTTCTTGGAGAATTTCATTTACTAAATTGTTGGCTTGTTCTATTTCTATAGGATATAAATCATTTTCTTCTGGAAGAATTCCAGTTTTTTTCCAACAATTAGAAATAATTTCTGGTGTAACAAAATCCCAAGCTCTTGCAACCATCTTAACTACATGATAAATATTAATTGGATCAGGTTCTATGCCAGACTGTTCTTCATCAAAATTATTTATTCTTTTTTTCAAAAATAGCCTTTTATAATGAGCTTTGAAACTATGAATGATGCCTGCATCACATGGTTGTAAATGTGCTGTGGTATTTGGTGGTAAATAATGAATTGTTATGTTTGGGAAAGTGACACCCTCTGTTAAGGTATGTGTTGGAGCATTATCAACTAATAATATAATATTCCTATTTTCATCTTGCATTTTTTTATTTAATTTTTTGAGATAATCATTCCATATAGAAATTTGCATCCAAGCTGTGTTATTCCAATAATAATTTACTGGTAATGTGTCTTTTTTTATTCTTCTCAATGGCCTTGGGTTTTGGTATTTGTGTATAAATAAGGGAATTAATTTTTCTGTGCCAGTTGAGTTACATGTTAAAAGAACTGTAACTCTATCCTTGTTTTTTTTGGTTCCTGGAAGTGGTCCAGTTGATAGCCCACAATTAGGTTCCATTTTTCAGAACAAACCAGTCTCATCACAGTTGAAGATATCCTCCCACCTATACTGTTGAAGGACTTCTCTTAAATTTTGTCTCATTTGTGGAATCTCACTTATTGGAGCACTTTGGGCTTCTCCATGTTTATTAAATGCCTGAATTGAGAATCTATGTTTAAAATTTTCAAGCCATCCTTGAGATGCTTTAAAATTATGGTGATTTAACAAATCAGCAAAATCTAGGGCTTTTTGTTGAATTATGGTGCCTGTAATTGTCAAATTACATTCAAGAGCTTTTTCAATCCACAAGATTAATGCCTCTTCAATATTTATTAAAGGTGAGGGACGTAATTTTTTTAATGTTGCTTGATATGAATTTGGATCAACTTGAAGCCATTTGTTAGAACTTCTTATGATGTCACTAACTTGACTTGTACTGATTCCAAATTCTGTAGCCAAATCAACATTTTTTTTATTTGGTTCTCGTTGTTTTATTGAACAAATTTCAAATTTTTGTGCAGCAGTAAGGTGGATGCATTTTTTTTGTTCTTGTTGAGACATTAGAAATTTTTTACTAATTTTATATTGTGTGTGTATGGGTTTTTATTATTAAATTTGGACAGACGGGATTTTTATTATTATTATATGGACAGACAAATTTTATTTCAAAAAGAAAATTTAAATTTCATGACAAAAATTTAAAGCTATATTTATATCCTCAAAACTTCAATATCAATGAAAAACAATTTGACGTTTTTAAAATAAACTAACCATTCAGTTCAAA